ACATGTTGCCCCATCTGTGGCAGAAAGAGTTCTACTCAACAAAAATTTGGGAAAATGTTAGAGTCGGTCTAAGATACGAGAATTAACATTAAAGTCAGTGGGGAAATATTTAGTGATCTGTGGCCATATAACCAAACACACGAAGAACATGAATCATCAACTATTTGAACTACTGTTATGCCGATATAACCAAATTAATGTTGGTTGAAGTCTATTGAAGACCTGCGGAGCCACGGTGGCTAAGTGGGTAAGACGCTGGCTCGCTGGCCTGGAGGTCGGGTGTTCGATCCCTGCATTGGCCGAGAAAGTTCATCCAGATTTTCCGGCGTGGTTCCCCCTTGTCAGTGATGCTGGACGGAGGTCCTGACAAGAACAGCTGTCAAGTCATTCGGATGAGACGAAAACTCGAGGTCCCGTGTACATATTGGCGTGCACGTAAAAGATCCCTTGACAGTTGAAATTCGATATAAGAGTAGGGCGTAGTGCCGATGTCCGGGCAAAATTTTCCTCATAGCACACTGTATGGCGTATGCCCGTCTTCATTAACTCAGTTCTGAGCAGAACAGTAGGACGTTAAATCCCATTTTATTTCATTTCTATTGAAAACCAAATACCATTTGTATCTTAAAATCAATATTTGTTTTACAAATCAATATTTGTTTTATAAATCAGACATTTGTCATATCAGATTAGTAAATTGTATCTTTGATAACGGCGTGCATGATCATTGACCGCACTCACCATCATTGTGGCGTTCTACAGGTCCGCACTAGGCCTCGATTACCCGTCGGTGCCCGGATAACCTGACAGTGACGATAGCCTCGAAAGGTACGGGGATGATCCTGGGCCCGACGACGCTAAGGCCTGGACAGGTAGCTTATGGTTTTTAATTCACCAATTTTTTCCCCAAAAAATAAACTTACAGAATTCAATTTCAGTTCTACCACCCCACTAGGTATCCACATTCAGAAACGTCACCGGTTTTTATCTACTTTAAAGTAGCAAAATCTCTAACTCAATATCATCCAAAGTCTTCGACATTGCAAACACGAAATATTTGTCAATAAATCAACCGGGAAAAGACGGCTTCTGATGTCCAATATTTAAGACAAAATATTTTTTTTTATTGGTACCATAATGCGTTTCAGCGCCATTTGTAACAAGGGACTCGAAGAACGAGGCTAAACATATTCCACATGTCATATCAAACGGTGACCTCATATTCTTATCTGGAGAGCATGCGCAAATCGGTGTAGACTGGAATAACCAGACGCTAGAGATTGCCATTCGATTGAGACTTCCGACGTATCTCGCCGAACATAACTGATTAGAAATTACAATGAAAACAGAAAGATTGAATGTAAATCAGTTTATATACATTCAGATTACATTATTATGCTTTACGACTCACTTGTGTCAATTTCTAGTCCCAAATATAAGTGTTTTCGCTCCTTCAAGATCAAGTAACATTGTATTTTTTTTTTATTACTTTGTAAGAACAATTTTCTTTTGAAACATTACTTGGCATAACCCCAGGCCGTTGTAGGCCCATAGGCATCTGGACAGGTGTGCCAGCAGTCCCCTCTCACGAGCCCTGGGTGTATGATTCATTTTTTTATTTTTGGATTTTTAGGACACCGTGGGCAACCCATGAAGCTGATCCGGCGGCCTTACTTCGCGTGACGTGTACATACCAGACCCCATAGTACACTGTATGGCGTATACCCGTCTTCATTAGCCCAGTCGGATCAGAACAGTTGGACGTTAAACTCCATTTCATTTATTTGAAATCATAAAAATACCATTGATTGTGAACTTCCACAAGACCCTAATAGTAAGTGCAGGGAGACTGCAACACACACAATTACACAAAAAACAAATCTACGGATAAGACACAATGCGCAGAAATCACAAACAAACGTACATAGCAGATTAAGTTACTTTTTCACTGTATCATATATTAGATATTTACAGTGGTATAATATACTCTCCAAAAAAAGTAGGGGATATTCAGAAACAATACAAAACTGCGGAAATGCACTGCTGTTTTTATTAGAGGTAACCAGTGTATGTCAATAACAGGGCGGCTTATCTGACGTCAAAAGTAAAAATGGACGTTTTTGATTTTTGGCTTAATAATGAGTAATTGCTCCACTAATCCTCAGGCATTCAGCAATTCGTCGTGGCATGCTCCTAATCAACCGTCCAACCACGATTTGGGGCAATATAACCCACTCCTCTTGCAGTGCCACGGCCAATTTTTTGCAGTGTTTTCGGTTGACGTAGACGTCGATGAACACGTCTCCCGATCAAATTAAACGTTACACACTAAAGCAAAGATACGCTAAACAGTAAATCTTATGCAAGGACCGATAGGAAAGCAAACATGGATAGATAAACTAGCACGCGGCAGTTTTCATCAACCCTTCGTTGAAGTGTCAAATTTGACAATGAACCCCTCCCACATGTATGACGCTATTGCGTGTCGCACGGGCAGCTCAGTGGTTCTGTTGGAGCGATAAGTTCTTAATCTGTGAACAAACTCTCAAAGCAAGCCAAGTTTCCACGACAATTTATCATATCGCAACCTGCATTTCAATATCCCCTATATATTTTTTGAAGAGGATATATTTTCACTGTATCGTATACTAGAAGAGAGAGAGAGAGAGAGAAATGGGGTTTAACGTCCACTCGACACAAACTAGGTCATTTCGGGACTAACATATGGTTTAATTTTATTTCAATAATTCGCTTGCGCGTAGGGGTCATTAGCAGTGGGAGGAAACCGGAGGACCCGGAGACAACCCACGAGGTTGGACAGGCGACCCTACTCCTTGTCACGTACAACCGGGGATTCGAAACCACGCCAGTTGACTCAATGACAGGCTTTATGATACAGCACGCAGATGCTACCCATTCAGCCCCCCCCCCCGTATACTAGATATTCACTGTGGTATAATTTTGCACAGGTTATTATTTTGTATCTTAATGTACAAAAAAATCCCCAAATTAGGAAAAGGTTAATAATAATTAATGGCCATAAATTACACAATAATTAATCCATGCATGTATAATTTAACGTTTAATTGAAACATACACCATGCATTAATACACATGTATGTCAAGTTGTGCACTAAGAAGTTTAAAGAAGCAGTCCTAAGTATCCACATATTCCTGAAGCAATGGTCCGAGAAATCTCTCTCTGCCCATTGCTGGATTGGCTTCTGATACTTGAGCTTTTGAGGGAGTGTGTCTATCCTCCCGTTCAATCAAATCTATCCCAAGTACAGCAACATGACAGCCCTTCGTTTATTATTGGGTCTTCCCTAAAACTTTGGACAGTGATTTAAGTTATTTTAAAAAATACGGTGAAAGTATTCTTCGTCTCCATACAGTATTGTTTACATTGTATTCGTGTTGTATTTGTCACGCAATTAGTTTTTCTGTAATATTCTGCTATGCACTGGTTAATTGGGTATAATAAAATCGTGAGTCATGCCGTAACGTTATGTAAACATATTTGGTCCAATTTGGAGCTTATTTTTACGCAGTTAGCTATTGGTTGTTAAACGGACTATTAACCAGTCATAATTTAGAACAGAAATTTGCTTCCATTAAAGCAGTGTTTAGTAGGATTAGCTCTAACCAAACGAAACACTGCGAGGAGTATTAAGTATCCATAGATACAAATCAGTTTACGTATGCAAATTAAAGCTAAATTATGGGAGATTAGATAAAGAGTTGGCAGTTCTCACTATAATAGTTAAAAACTAGATAATGTAAAGGGAATGTGGTAAAAATTTCAGTCAAATTGATTCACTCTGAACCGAGAATTCAGCGATTGGATTTTCCGCCTAGCCTCGATCATCATTACAAAAGTCGGTACGATGAAATACATAGTCTCGATTAGGATCCTAATCCAGTAAATATCGCAGGCTAGCGATGGCATCGAGAGTTGATTATGGTCTGGATAAGTTAATTAATGTCTAATTTAGATAACATTTCATGCCTAAAGAAAGACCTGAAATAGGCAGATTTAGCTCTTGCATAATGTATGTGTAAACGCAGAGGTATAAATGAAATGAAATGGGGTTTAACGTCCTACTGTTCTGCACCGACTGGGCTAATGAAGACGGGCATACACCATACAGTGTGCTATGAGGGAAATTTTACCTTTACAGCGACACTACAGCCTACTCTTATATCGAATTCTGTCAAGGTTTCTTTTACGTGCTTATCAATGTGTACACTGGACTTCGATTATACATCCCATCCCAGCGATTATACGTTATATCTTGCCATGCCTTCTTTCCTACCCCACTGACAATTTAGGGCGAACCACACCGATGAACCTTCCCGGTCAACGTAGGGATCGAACACGGAACCTCTTACTTACTGAGTCACCGTGGCTACGATTACAAGAACAAAGCATATAATAATAACTGAATCCTTCGTGAGAAGGGGTGGGGGTGTGATTGTCGCCGAATGGTTAGCACGTGCGTGCTGTATCATAAGGTCTGTCATTGAGTCAACTGGCGTGGTTTCGAATCCCGGCCCGGTTGTACGTGACAAGGAGTAGGGTCGCATGTCCAACCTCGTGGGTTTTCTCCGGGTCCTCTGGTTTCCTCCCACTGCTAAAGACCCCAACGCGCAAGCGAATTATTGAAATAAAATTAAACCATATGTTAGTCCCGAAATGACCTAGTTTGTGTCGAGTGGACGTTAAACCCGATTTCCCTATCTCTCTCTTTCGTGAGAAAAGTCGATTACAAATCCTGGTATTGCTCGCAAGGGCGACAACTACTTGCTCGCTAATAATAAAAGTGTGAGTGGAAGAGAAATTTTCCGATCAATTTCTGCGATAATCAAGTCTAGCAGTGTAAGTGGTATGAAGGGTAGAAGGCAACGATTCCATCATGCTGCTTGCTGTTCGCCTGCTATAGTCTTCCTAGTCGTCAATATCACAACCATTGGCTCGACTTACGATCGATAACTGAACGCCAAATAATACAACGCGGTGTTTACCATTTATCATTCCTCACTCCACTAACAACTGTGTCATGGTCGAACGATAAAGGTGACCCAATTTGTACTTGAAAAGGAATGAAAATCCTGGCGATCTGCAGGTGTTGACAAGCTGTGAATGACTAGAGAGGACTGTGGAAGTTCTTCGAGTAGAATAACGATAGTTCCAGATTGATCTTGCGTTTGTTCCGATGGGATGTTAGTGATTCCTAGTCGATTCTATTTTTAAATGGACAACTGGTGATTTCAGCGCAGGTTATATATATTATAAACAGAAGTGAACCAGATTCGAACCTTCACCACTTGTGTTTATATATAATGATGATGTCGACAATATCTGGAATAGTTCTACTAGTCGTATGTTTGGGTAAGTACAAGGGAGTTTTACCATTGTAAACACCATAACATCGATATCACTGTATCATTCTAGAATACGCGACACGGAATGCCTGTAAACAATCGCAGTGACAACAAAATATGGAACTACGGCGAAACAGATGTTTTAAATAACAGATGTCCCTCGCTAATTTATTTATTGTCAGAATTATTTATTATTCAACTTGGTGTCGAGAAACATAGGCGCCATTTTTACGTAGGTTGAAACAACAACAATGAGTGGTTGTATGACAAGATTATAATGCGCAGACATGATTGTGTTCATGTCGAATGGCCGTTGATTGATTAGAAAAGTGAAAATGAAATGGGGTTTAACGTCCTACTGTTCTGCTCCTATACTGGGCTAATGAAGACGGGCATACGCCATACAGTGTGCTGCGAGGGAAATTTGCCCGGGCAGCGGTACTATGACCTACTCTTATATCGAATTCCAGCTGTCAAGGGATCTTTCACGTATACGCCAATGTGTACACGGGACCTCGGTTTTTGTCCCATCCAAACGACTGGACAGCTGTCCTTTTCAGGCCCTCCGCCCTGTATCACTGACAATTTGGATGAACTTTCTGGATGAACTTTCTCGGCCAATGCATGGATCGAACACCTGACCTCCAGACTAGCGGAGCCATCCTCTTACCCACATAGCCACCGTGGCTCACCCGTATATTATTTAGAAAAGTAACCGAAATGATATGAAATGACGTGGGGTTTAACGTCCTACTTTTCTCGACAAGTGAACGAATATACAGTAATATTAACCCGTTTCAAAGACCATATTCTTACCATAACCCTTGCTTTCAGCGAAGTAAACGAATGTAACATGGAGCGGCAGCTTCATGTTGATTTTTGCAAAGTAGACGAATATAGAGTAACGTAAAACCGTCTCCAACCCATTGCTTTTTGACCAGTAAACGAATGTTACATAGGTTAGCAGTTTTTAAGTAGAAACCCTTGCCCTAACTCTTTATGTTTGACAACACGAATATAATATAGATAGTTTCACAGTGGAAACCTTCGCCATAACCCGTTTTGACAACTAAAAGAATATAGGTTAGCAGTTTAACAGTGGAAACCTTCGCCCTAATTTTGATAAATAAACGAATATAACATGGTTAAACAGTTACATAGTAACCTACAAACCCTAACCCAAACCCATTCGGTGCAGAGAAGTAAGAAGTTCAAACCCATTTCAGTTCCCAGAAGGGATGGGGGGGGGGGGCTTGTCATTAAAAGTATAATGAATCGGATAAAGGGGTGTTTATTGTATTACAGAGCTACAAATGATTTTCTTTTCAGTGTTGATTAAATTAATTAAATCATTTCTAGTTCAATCAAAACTAAACTTTATTTTTTAAGTTAAAAGTAATATAGGGTGAGTGGGGTGTAATGATTCTCCAAGATCCAATCCGCCGGGGAATGCTCACTAGTCGGCGGGTTCATTAGTCCACCGATACTTATTATAGGGGTTGGGTTAGGGTTAAGGTGCACTAGTCGGCGGTTTCATTATTCCACCAATATCTAGGGTTTGGGTTGGGATTGTGTTTTTTGATACCCATATTTATAGTATTTCTTATAGCGGTGGACTAGTGCACCCGCGGACTAGTTCACTTAGTTTTTTCAACTATGAATTTTGTGGAAAGTATGGAGGTGATTTATTTTTTGTTTATATTCAAAGATTCATGCTCCATCTCTTTCAGTATAAAAATAGTTTCGATTTGGTGTGATTGTCTATTAGATTATATGGATCGTGTTTAAAGTAAAGTACAGGCAATATTTCCCACATGCCCGGCATTAATCATTTTATGATATCAAAATGTGCTGATTTCTAAAGATTTCTAATGAAAGGTTAAATATGTATGTTATTGTTTATATTGTTATTGAATTTGAGATGTAATGAAAAACTGTGACTTTTTTTCCTGTGTTTTTTTTTACCTAGGCAAATTTGTGACTTTTTTACTGTGACTTTTTTTCCTGTGACTTTTTTTCCGCGCACCTCAATCCGCCACTCAAACCCATTAACAACCCACTGATCAACGTAAATCCTAAACCTATTAACAACCCACTGATCAGTGTAAATCCTAAACGCCCCAACTAATCGGATGCTATGTGATGTGTAAACAATCAGGTCAATAAATACAGATCTAGGCCGTGTCTAGACATTACATTACTGTAATGTCTGTAAATAGTTGGGGGTCACGGTGGCTAAGTAGGTAAGACGCTGGATCGCTAGCCTGGAGGTCGCGTGTTCGATCCCTGCATTGGCCGAGAAAGTTCATCCAGATTTTCCGGCGTGCTTCCCCCTTGTCAGTGATGCAGGACGAAGGGCCTTGCAAGGACAGCTGTCTAGTCATTCGGATGAGACGAAAAACCGAGGTTCCGTGTACACACTGGCGTGCACGTAAAGGATCCCTTGACAGTTAGAATTCGATATAAGAGTAGGCCGTAGTGCCGCTGTCCGGGCAAAGTTTTCCCTCATAGCACACTGTATGGCGTATGCCCGTCTTCATTAGCCCAGTTCGGAGCAAAACAGTAGGACGTTAAACCCCATTTCATTTCATTTCTGTAAATAGTGGGATAAATATCCGGTGCGGCCAGGACATTACAGTATCGAGTATCTATTAGTCTCCAGAGAGAGATAGACTCCACTCGGCACAAACTAGGCCATTTCGTCACTAACATATGGTTTAATTTTATTCCAATAATTCGCTTGCGCGTAGGTGTCTTTAGCAATGGGAGGACACAGGCGACCCGACTCTTTGTCATGTACAAGCGTGTAATCGAAATAACAGACCTTATGGTTAAACCACTAGATCCACCACCATCACACACCCACGCCTACACATGATACCACTGCGGGCCGAGATCACAAAGTCAGCAAGGATATTTGTCGCTAAGAGCCCGCGACATCGGGGACAATATGTCAAATTCACCCAAAAAACAACCCTCTGTGTGCGCTGACCCTTCTGCCAGAAACCATCTTTCAATTGTCTTTCTGGAAATATTAAATATCTAGACAAACGAAATGTTGGTGTCCACAATTGTATCTTAAAGGGACAATGACACTCTTGCTGGCTTGACAGCTCCAGAAAATAAATAATAGCCTTATTCTAAGTATTAGATGTTTATGTGTCCTACCTGTTGTGTAAATTATCCATTACATCCTATTTTACTTGTCCAGAGGGTTCGATAAAATTTTTAAATCCAAGTCATATTTGAAAAGGTTTACGTTAGGGTTTTCAAATCATTTAGTTGAATTTTTCCAATTTTTTAAATTAGGTGTGTTAAGATGAAATTTGTATCATCAGTTAATTGGAATATTGTAAAATAGTGCAATTTTTTGACTAGAATAAAGATTGGGACATATTATTCAGTTACAACAAGAGTGGTATTGAGCCTTTAAACAAATGCACATAACCGTATCACTGACATGTTAAAACATTTCTTCTCGACATTTTGCTAGTCTTTTATTTAATGATAATAAAAAAAGGCTCCAGCCTACCAAACACAAAACCAGATTACAAAAGCAGCACGAAGTCATTGTGTAAGGTAAAAGAAAAACTAATTATAGTTTGTGTTGTGTATGAATTGAGTTGATCTGTTTAATGAAAACGGTCCAAAGATCAATACCATACCGTACAGGCAGGTTTATTACTGGATTCCTCTATAAGACATTTTCTGCTTTTCTAAACACCTAAATAATCGATAATATTGAACTGGTTTCTAAGCGCTGTGTGTTTACGGTACCATTAGAACTATGACTATAGTGAAGCTTATATTGTACATGACCTGAACGACACAGGCAGAGCAAGCAAGCAAATTATAGGATTATTATAGCACTTGTCGTGTGCAGGATAGCTTACGTTAGGTTTAGAGATTGCAATAATGTCGAATGATATTGTCCATTAATAGAATCACGAACAATGGTCTATCAGCAATGGGTGGTTGGGTTGTCGAGTGGGCTAACCTTTTTGTCATAAGAGTGGTTTGGATCACAAACATATACGTGACAAGGTGTAAAGTCGCCTGTCTAACCGCGTAGAATTTCTCTCCGGGTCCTCCGGTTTTTATTTGTATGGTTACGTCTGAAATACGAACTGTGGCGTTTCAGTCCACTATTTAGCAATATTAAACTGTTTTGCACGTAAATATTTTGCTTGCCAAACCCATCTCTCCGACAGTCAAGGGAGCCACGGTGGCTAAATGGGTAAGACGCTGGCTCGCTACCCTGGAGGTCGCGTGTCGATTTTCCGACGTGATTTCCCCTTGTTAGTGATGCACGACGGAGGGCTTGACGAGACCAGCTGTCTAGTCGTTCGGATGGGACAAAAAACCGAGGTCCCGTATACAAATTGACGTGCATGTAAAATATCCCTTGGCAGTTGAAATTCGATATAAGAGTAGACCATAGTGCCGCTGCCGAGGCAAGATTTTCCTCATAGCACAGTCGGAGCAGAACAGTAGGACGTTAAACCCCATTTCATTTCATCTCCGACAGTCAAGGATTAAGTATCACCTGTCACCCAAGACCAACCCTGATATTACCTTGTTATTTTGGTAGCTAGGTAAGAACGTATTCTGTAACTATAGATTCATACATTATGTACATGGTCTGGAATCAACAATGACGTCATGATGTTCGATATTAATATATAAGTGATGTACGAGGAAGTTGCCATAACTAATTGTGTCTTGTCACTCGCGTTTGATCCTAACCTAGTTACTAGTCTGTAATAGGTATGATCATGTAGGTCGATTGTGGCATGGAATCAGTTTAGTTGTTATAAATCTCAGCCGATATCTACCATTATGGTGTTCACACTAGCCTCGTCCAGGTGTTGTCGCAATAGTCCCAAATCCTACTGAACTAGAGTCTAGACTTGACTAAAGGAAGAGAGAGAGAGAGAGAGAGAGAGAGAGAGAGAGAGTTTAACGTCCACTCGACACAAACTAGGTCACTTCGGGATTAACATATGGTTCAATTTAATTTCAATAATTCGCTCGCGCTTAGGTGTCTTTAGCTGTGGGGGGAAACCGGAGGCCCCGGGGAAAGCCCACGAGGTCGGACAGGCGACCCTACTCCTTGCCACGTAACCCCAGGGAATCAAAACCAAGCCAGTTGACTCAATGACAGACGTTATGATACAGTGCGCACGTGCTAACCATTCGGCCATCCACATCCCCCTCTTCATAAGTATGTGTTATATTTTATTGAGCCAGTGTCGTTACTATACCTACTGCGCCATCCCGGCAAAGACATATCTGTTACAAATAATTGAGCAGACCAACAAAGAACCCTGACAATCCAGTTTAATATACGAGAAAAAGAATAGCTAAATCTATTTGTTAAGGCCAGCTCAATTTTTATCAAGTTGCTGAGATGTAAATAAGGTAAGGGTATGTGATTGTTGGCGAGATTGTAGGTTAGGGTTAGGGTACGCATTGGGGCTAGGCCCAGGATTAGGTGTGGGATTAATGCTAGCCCTGTTTACATCTCGTAACCTATGACGAAAATTTTGCTGGCCTTATCATTTAGCACTAACCAGAAAGAATGATAAATTATACAAAGCTAGTATATTTATTAGAATGTTACAGCAGAGTCTAGTGGAATATCGATCGGTGATATATTTATAGTAATAATGGTTGTCGATACTAGTACTAATAATAATACTACTACAGCTTCATCTAACATCTCATCAAACCACAATCATACTAGTATTATCTATCATCACAATACATGACACCGACAGTTGGTGAATCTGGTTTATTCTGGGAGTCGTACGGCGGCCTGTTAGTGCCATACGTTAATTCTACCTTTTTCTTTTAATTTATCTCATATGAAAAATCGCAGTGAAAACTATAATAAATAAAAAAACCCATGAAAAACCTTTCTCCGCGGTGGAAGCAAGGAGTCGGGGGCCTGTTTCACGAAATTTTATCTAAGATAAAATCCAAATTCTAGTAATTTGATTGGATAATATTAGATTGATTTTAGTGTTTAGCCAATCAAAATTGAAGAATCTACTAAAATTTGGATTTTATCTTTAGTTAAAGTAGCTAAGTCTATAACTCAATATCATCCAAAATCTTCGACATTGAAAACACGAATTATTTGTCAATTTAAATTTACATTGATGTTGTGATCTTATCGGGAAAAGATGGGCTTCTGATATCCAATATTTAAGACAAAATAAACATTTTACCATTGGTACACGAATCGTGTACCATAATGCGTTTCAGGCCCATTCTAACAAGGGACTCGAAGAACGAGGCTAGACAATCAACAAGTCATGTCAAACGGTGACGGCATATTCATATCGGGAGAGTATGCGCAATAAATACTATGTAGACTAGAATAACCAGACGCTAGAGATTTTCATTCGATTGAGACTTCTGACATATTTCGCAGAACGTAATTGATTTGAAATTAGAGTAAAAATGGAAACGATTGAATGTAAATCAGTTTATATATATTCTTATTACATTATTATATGCGTTACGACCCATTTGTGTCAATTTCTAGGTTCAAAATATTAGCGACTAGCAGGATACCCGGCTTCGCTCGGGGGTCATAACTCCGAAACCGGAAGTGGTAGACTAACGCCACCTGGCCTATGTCACTCCCCGGTCCGAGCTACCCCTATACCCCAAATTTCAGACTCGGGGCAGACCTAGTGTAGCCGCCAACCCAGAACAGACCGGCTTCGCTCGGGGGTCATAACTCCGAAACCGGAAGTGGTAAACTAACGCCACCTGGCCTATGTTACTCCCCGGTCCGAGCTACCCCTATACCCCAAATTTCAGACTCGGGGCAGACCTAGTGTAGCCGCCAACCCCGAACAGACAGACAGACAGATACCCGGCTTCGCTCGGGGGTCATAACTCCGAAACCGGAAGTGGTAGACCAAGGCCACCTGGCCTATGATACTCCCCGGTCCGAGCTACCCCTATACCCCAAATTTCAGACTCGGGGCAGACCTAGTGTAGCCGCCAACCCCGAACAGACCGATTCGCTCGGGGGTCATAACTTCGAAACCGGAAGTGGTAGACTAACGCCACCTGGCCTATGTTACTCCCCGGTGCGAGCTTCCCTTATACCCCAAATGTCAGACAGTGTAGCCGCCAACCCCACACAGACAGAAAGACAAACAGAAAGACAAACGACAGTCACAAATATTAGTATAGATTTAGCTCCTTTAAAATTTCGTGGAACAGGTCCCTGAATTATTGCCATTTTAAGGACTTCCGGGAAACGTTTTGCTCGCGGTGCTTTCATGCGTATAGCCGCGGCAGCTCAGTAAGGCATGGCTTAATAACAACGGGGTCCGAAGTTTCATCCCAGTATCGGACTGTTCCCTGAGATTATCCAGTACAGTTACCTCTTGTTAGTGTTGTAGGACGGAAGATCTGGCAAGAAACTGGGTTTAGCCGTTCATATGGGATCACGTGAAAGGACCATCAAAATCACCACTATCATGGCCCGATTGCCCTTGTAGGACACTGCTTGGTATATGTCCGTCATCATTATCGGCTTTGGGGCAGATAAATGAGGTTTGGTTTAAACGAGATATGACAACATCCTCCCTACACGCCCTGTCTTTCACATAAGAAACTAAATATATTTCAAAGTTTTTGTTTGCCCACAATTTTGGAGGAATCGTTTTCAAAACTTTTGGTTGGCGACAATTGGGAATGCATTTGAGCGCAATCATTTTGCTCGATCCGGAGTTATGGCCCTTTAATATATAATATATTAGAATGCAATCTCTTTTCGGTAGATGACCATTGGGAATGCACTTGAGCGGAATCGCTTTGTTCGATCCGGGGTTATGACCCTTTAATTAACTTAATATTAGGATAATAATTATTTTCGGTAGAGGACAATTAGGATTGAATTTGGCGCAATCGCCTTTTCTTTCCACGCTTAAATTTATTGTAGGACACGTCTCTTTGTTATTCATTTCCATAAAACCCATCGCGTATCTCTGCTTTAAACACTTGACTGATAGACCGTATTCATTAGCTATATTTTATTAATGCAATAATCGCTGACAATGTTCGGAGAATTTGCATGTCTGTTCTTGTACAACAAATTGCCACCGATATGTTTATACCATTAAACAAATTAATTTTCCAGATGTGGTTGTTGATCAGCGTGCCGAGGAGAGAGAGAGAGAGAGAGAGAGAGGTGTTAACGTCCACTCGACACAAACTAGGCCATTTTGGGACTAACACATTGTTAAATTTTATTTCAATAATTCGCTTGCGCGAGGGTGTCTTGGGCAGTGGGAGGAAAGCGGAGGACCCGCAGAAAACCCACGAGGTTGGACAGGCGACCCTACTCCTTGTCACGTATAACCGGGGAATCGAAACCACGCCAGTTGACTCAATGACAGACCGTATATGATATAACACGCCCCCCCCCCACCCCCCGTCCCCGCAGCATGCCGAAGATGTAGATAGCTAAATAAATGTGTGAGCCACGCTGGCTCGCTAGCCTGGAGGTCGGGTTTCGATCCCTGTATTGGCCGAGAAAGTTCATCCGGGTTCCGGCGTTGTTTCCCCTTGTCAGTGATGCAGGATGGTGGTCCTAACAAGGACAGCTGTCTAGTAGTGCAGATGGGCCAACAACTGAGGACCCGTGTACACATTGGCGTGCACGTAAAAGATCCCTTGGCAGTTGGAATTCGATATAAAAATGGGTCATAGTGCCCGCTGCCCGGGAAAATTTCCCTGATAGCACACTGTATGGCGTATGGTCGTCTTCAATAGCCAAATCAGCGCAGAACTGTAGGACATTAAACCCCATTTCATTTCATTTCCATTTCTAAATAAATGTTACTATGTATGTTTATAGTCTGTCCTAATACACAGATTATACCACCATCATCACCAACAAACCACCTCCCAATGTTTTAATATTATTATTATTATTTTTATTATTATTCCAGGTGTATGTGTGGAAAGTAAACTAACATATGGTTGCTATGGACCACCCGGATCACCGTGTACCAAACACACTCTATCTTGTGACAAAGGGGAGGTAATTAGCTTGACAGATAATTTGGGCGTCATAACGTTCGCAAAGAAACGGAACTCGAGCACTTGCGAGCCAGTGTTACAAGATGAATGTGACAAAAATTCATGCTGCAAACCAGGCGATGACTCCAAACCATCCGACGTCATGGCAGTCAGCGAAACGGATAAAATACTAATTTATAACCAATGTTCTAATAAAGAGTCTTGTACGATTACCTCCCCTTATAAACATAATTTAGATTACAATTATCTACAATATTTTTATTTCTGTATGCTGGGTAAGTATATATTTATCTTAAATCATATAATCCTACGTTTATCTACAGTCCCGGACTAAGATGACGAGCATCATTATCTTGGGCTATAATAAGGGTTGGTTTCCCCTTGTCGGATGGAACGAAAAACCGAGGCCTATATACACATTAGCGTACAAGTAAAAGATTCTTGGCAGTAGGTATTCGATATAAGAGTAGGCCGTAGCGCCGCTGTCCGGGCAAAATGTGCCTCGTAGAACACTGTATGGCGTATGTCCGTCTTCATTAGCCTAGTCGGAGCAGAACAGTAAGACGTTAAACCCCATTTCATTTCATAACTAGAGCACGTATGTCGGTGGGTTCGTTTTGCCAACTGGTGAATAATGGCTTAAATCTCTTTGATCAAGATTCAAGACTTCAATAAAAATCAGAAAGATACGTCCTGATTTAATGGGAGGAAAAATGTTTAAATGATCAAATATTAATGTAGACTGTAGAGCAAAATCACACAAAGTTCGCTGCCGTTTATTTATTTAAGGTTTAAGGAGCAAGAAGTACTAGAATTTGGCAAAACGAACACATCGCACGTTTCTCTATTCTAGGAGTTACAGAGAGAGAGAGAGAGAGAGAGAGAAATGGGTTTAGCGTCCACTCGATACAAACTAGGTCATTTCGGGATTAACACATGTTCAATTTTATTTCAATAATTCGCTTGCGCGTAGGGGTCTTTAGCAGTGGGAGGAAACCGGAGGACCCGGAGAAAACCCACGAGGTTGGATAGGAGTTACAGATTATGGAACTTCTAGTCTAGTATTAAAGAGCTAAGCTAAGTCTCTAACTCAATATCATCCAAAATCTTCAACATTGAAAACACGATTTATTTGTCAAATTAAATCAACATTCATGTTGTGATCTTACCGGGAAAAGATGGGCTTTTGATATCCAATATTTAAGACAAAATAAACATTTTACCATTGGTACACGAATCGTTTACCATAATGCGCTTCAGCCCCAGTTGTATCAAGAGACTCGAGGGACGAGGCTAGACACATTGCACCAAATCAAACGGCACATGTAGACTGGAATAACCAGACGCTAGAAATTTGCACTCGCTTGAGACTGCTGGCTTATTTCGCCGAACATAACTGAATTGAAATTGTAGTAAAACGGAAACTATTGAATGTAAATCAGTTTATATACATTCATATTACAGTATTATATGCGTTGCGACCCACTTTTGTCAATTTCTAGGTCCCAAATGTTAGCGATTTAGCTCCTTTAACCAATATGCGAATCGAGCTTATGCTAGGTTCCCACTGTCGTGCGTTGTGTTACGATAGAGAGAGAGAGAAATGGGGTTTAACGTCCACTCGACACAAACTAGGTCATTTCGGGACTAACGTATGGTTTAATTTTATTTACATAATTCGCTTGCGCGTAGGGGTCTTTAGCAGTGGGAGGAAACCGGAGGACCCGGAGAAAACCCACGAGGTTGGACAGGCGACCCTACTCCTTGCCACGTACAACCGGGGATTCGAAACCACGCCAGTCGACTCAATGACAGACTTTATGATACAGCGCGCGCACGCTAACCATTCAGCCATCCAACCCCCCGTGTTACGATAGGATTGTTCCTACTGAGACCACGATCTGCAGCGTGAAGATACGTTCGGATACGTTTCGATACGATCCACACGATTGCCACGACTGACCTCAATATATTTATAAGACTCGATAGGATCATCACGATTACTCGACGATTAAAACCACGATTTCAATCGTAGCGCGAATCATGATAGTAGAAACCTAGCATGGGAATTACTAGTGCGATCGGGAAAATGCTTTTAGATTAGAGGTTGATACCTACATACATGTATTATATAACTAGAATAATGAGTATGAAATACAATGATTGGAAATTATACAGCCGATCTTAATAATTACGTACGTTGAGATCGATCAGTGGCATCCCGAAGATTGATTACGCTCGGGGCAGATTCACGTACAGGATCTATGTCCAAAACCAAACCACAGATGTAATAAACATCTGATATGTGCAGATACGTTCGAATACGCTTCTATACGATCAACACGATTGCCACGACTGACCATAAATGATAAGACCTGATAGGATCACGGCGATTACTCCACGATTAGAACCACGATTTCAATCGTAATAGTGGGACAACAGCATTACCAGAAAATGTAGCCGCAAACCCCAAGGAAATGTAAAATAATTTCCTGAATTTTTACCAGAAAATTAATTGCAGGTTCCAACGTGAATAACATAACAGATAAACAGAATACGACCCACTCCCGTTCCGGTTTCCTGTATTTTACTGGTCAGACCAAACCATCATCACATCTTACCTGTTCCTGTGAAGTAACCAGTCCTGGCAAGATAAACGTCATCAGCTATTTCACCAATCTGTCCCCAGACACCTGCTCCCGTGTTAAAATATCCTCCCAGAATCGCCAGCTAGTCAAGTGTGAGGACAAAGGCGGTGCCCTTATTTTCAACAAATGGTTAGATCAAGTTAAAGAGTCGATTACCATAGATTTCGATGACTTCTCAGCCAAGAGAACAGATACTTTATGGTTCGAGTTTGGTCCGGGTAAGTTGTCAAAGTTCTCAAAACAGGGACCAAATGCAAACGATACAGTAACACCCTTTGTGTCATGGAATTAGAGTTTATTTCGCCGTCCCGTCAACCAAGCAGTGGTTTTCGCGAAAAATTGGTATTTGGCAAAGAGTAAGCATATGTATACATCAAAGGTTTTGTATTTTCTTCATTGCATTCAAAAGCTAAATATATTTATTAAAACAAGTTTTAAAGGACATCTGAAAGTTGAAAGTTGATAATTATGTTGTATTTATTTTTTGAAATGCATTATAAAGTACTGACTTCTTTCGTTTCAAATTAAATAGTACCTTAAAATGTATTTTAGCCTTTACAACGACTGTATCCTGTCAACAAATGGGGTTATAATAGATTCGGATCTTTATTACTTTATAATCATATTGCTGAACCAGAGTCAAACATGCTACAGGCGAGCAGTTAAAAATTAATTCGGATCGCAAATTTCCGCAATTTGATAAAAATACAAATCTATATTTCGTTTTGTTTTATTATACTTTCGATGGCCTCTACTACATGAAGATCTCATCAGTTGTAGTGAAAGATCGCGTCAGGGGTCATACGAACGGATTTTGATCCTATGACTTCTGCTTTTTGATTAGCCAATCAGCGTTGATGTTTCTTAGTGGGACAGAGCCTAAAAAAAGGTTAAATTCTCAGAGCACGGATTTAGAGGCCGGTGAAGCCGACCGCCCGCGAGCGCCGCAGGCGCGAAGCGCGTCGGCTGGAGGTCTGGCCTCCCCCAGAAAATTTTGAAAATTGAGAGTTTGAAACCGGCATCTGTGGACTATTCTGGTGCAGTTTACATAGGAATTTATTTTGTCGCGAGCAGCTTTTTTCGCATGAAAACTCAGCACTAGGACGACAACACACACAGAAGATTTTAAGAAAGGTTGTACTTGCCCCGGGGTCGAACTGATCTGATCTAATCTGTGCAACTGACCACACCACAAGAACACAAGAAGAAACACCCAATTAGGGGTCAGGAGGCATCGCTGACTACACTTTTTTCGAGCACTACACCATTTTTCAGAGCACGGTTTACTTATTTTCGAAGCACGGATTTTTCATTTCGAGGCACGTTCGTGCTCCAAGGCACGTTATTTTAGGCCCTGTAGTGGGATACCCGCGGTTCCGTGCGCCACACGCCAAGAACTCGTCGTAACATACCCAAGCTCCCGTGTATAAGTTGGCGTGCACATAAAAGATCCCTTGACAGTTGGAATTCGATATAAGAGTATGCCATAGTGCCGCTGTCCGGGCAAAAGTTCCCTCCCCTCATAGCACACTGTATGGCGTATGCCCGTCTTCATTAGCCCGGTAGGAGCAGAACAGTAGGACATTAAACCCCATTTCATTTCATTAGCCTGGTAGGAGCAGAACGATAGGACTTTAAACCCCATTGCATTTCATTTCTTACATAATGCATCTTTAACTTGTGTTTTCTGTATTTCAGAACGAGACAAGGAATTAAATATCAACTGTACTGGATGCATTCATATCAACTCAGGTAAAACTATATTAAGATACATTATGTAAGTTTTAGATACAGAGTTAGCCATTCTTGCTATAATAGTTCGAAAACAGATAATGTAAAATGAATAATTTGAAAATTTTATTCAAATTACTTTATTGCGAGGGAAGATATTAGCATTTGAAGGTTTGACAAGACGTGTGCAATAATTTCAACCACCGTACTGGTTGTTCGAATGTAAGTTAGTTTCGCTCCTCCAATTTTAGCTTAAATCAAAATATGGCTGAACTGTTCTAATCTATTTAATATCGGAGAACTCCGATGCCATCGAGAGTTGATTATGGCCTGGATAAGTTAATTAATGTCTAATTAATAATTTAGATAACATTTCAGGCCTAAAGAAAGACCTGCAATAGGCAGATTTAGCTTTTGCATAATGTATGTTTAATGCTGCAACATTATTTAACCTTTATAAACAAAACGAAATGAAATGAATGTTTAGTTTCGAACACTATTCTCTATTAGTAGTAGAAGGCCACGGTGGCCCAATGAGTAAGATGTTGGCTCGCCAATCAAAAGGTTCCTTTGTAGACCGAGACAGTTCATTGGGATTCCAGCATGGTTCCCTCTTGTCAGTAGTGTAGAATGGCTAGGGACAAGGTATAGTCGTTCGGATGGGACAAAAAGAGGTCCCGTGCTCGTAAAAGATCCACAGACAATTAGAATTAGCCTATGAAGTTCGTTAAACCAAATTGCATTTCAATTGTATCGAATACAGCAGTTAGTACGAAATGTCGATCAGTTCCATGTGACCTCTGAGACCGTAACCTCTGTACCTGAAATGTCCGTCAGTTTGGAATTTATCCACATGACCCTTTTAAGTCACGTGGACAATTTTTAAACGTCATCGGAGCAGAACAGTAGGACTTTAAACCCCATTTTATTTCAGACGAGTTATTTGCCCCTGAGTTAGAAATCGGAATCAGACCAGTTATTTGATAATCTCGCTTACGAACATGGACTTGACAGACTTGTCATAGCTTGATGTTATTTTTGAAATATTTTCCACGTTACAGGCGTCTGTGGTTTAAACCCCTGTTCATTTCATTGTCTGTTCCGTCAGGGGGAATGCAGACGATCTGTAAAATACCTACATGTATTTTGAGTACAGGCCCATAACTAGGCGGGAGTGGGGGGGGGGTCGCTCTCCCTGTGATAATATTCTCGACCATAAAAACAATAGATTGTTCTTCAATTGCACAGCACCCCCTGAGAACACTTCTCGTCCCCCTCGTTGTTCTGAGCTAGTTACCGCCATGGGCTCTGTTTCTCGAATTCTTAACTAAAGATAAAATCCAAATTTTAGTAGATACATGTACTTCAATTTTAATTGGCTAAGCACTAAAATCAGTCTAATATTATCCAATCAAATTACTAAAATTTTAATTTTATCTTAGTTAAAATTTCGTGAAACAGGCCCCCGTTTGAGTATGGAAGAGAGGTCTAGGCTATTTATTTATTCCATGGTTTGTTTATATATTTCAGGCCCAGCTTTAACCCCTGCTGGTTTTAAATTGGGAGTTGCAACAATTATAACTATCATAATACCTCTTCTAATCGCAGGCCGCCATCTTTGATTTGATTAATCCATACGCGTGTATTGTTGTTGAGTCCCCATGGTGACCTCGTTATTCTAGTTGGTTTACTCATATTTCATTCATTCATTTAAAGCTGCATTATGTAAGATTTAGATAGACATTGATCGTTCATAATATATTATTGTAGCAACGGTACTTGACAACCGGGACTAAGTCTCGATTATCCATTGTATCATTAAAGTTTTAAATTTCGCGCGTGTGATGCGAATAAATGTCTAAATAATAATTTATGTAAGATTTGAGCACGAAAGAAACACATGCAATAGGCAGATTTAGCTCTTACATAATGCAACTTTAAAGTTAAGCCGGTCTCGTACACCGTCATGTTGGATCTCAAAGACATCCTGCGAAAAGACAAAAACGCGTGGAGTATGAAAATATCTGCGATAAGGGTTTTGTCCAGAAACGATAGCTTAACATATTGCAGACATCCTGGTGTATCATGAATCGTGGCGACGGAAGACAATCGTGGACTATCCCTTTAGCATTTTCACCAGGAGTATCTACTGGAGAAAGGGAAGCAACTGATGGCGAGTAAGGTTTGATTTATTTTTATCTTCCAAATTCCAGAACAATTGTTCTCACATCCACCAAGTTAATGACAGTCGCAACGTAGTCGATGGTGCTCTGCCACGATTAGCTCTGCCAATGTCATGATTAGCTCGCCATGATTAAACAGGACAAAGTATGAAACCGACTTAACAAGCATACAGCTACAACCCCTCGCCTTTTTGGACCAGGAACTGATCTTCTTCTTGTTTGTGGTTGACGCTCTTCGAAAAAGCCTAAGGCTCAACCAATTCAAGGCCGATCGACATGAAAATTAGCATGCTTGTTCTTTGAACATCGATGTGGGGAATTAGAGTTTTGAATTTCATCCAACAACATGGTCAGTTCCTGGTCCATAGTAAGATCGTACTTGGTTTTTTTTAAATCAGAAAAATATATAATTACTAGCTCTGATAGGGAATCCAGTCAAATTATCCGGTAAGAAATATTTAAATTGATATTCATCTTAAAGTCATGTGACCTTTTAAAATTACAAACATCAATATTTTACCATTACCATAAAAATACCTTATGAAGAGCTGACTAAAATGACAAACATCAATATTTTACCATTACCATAAAAATACCTTATGAAGAGCTGACTAAAATGACAAACATCAATATTTTACCATTACCATAAAAATACCTTATGAAGAGCTGACTGTTCTTGCTATAATAGTTCAAAAATATATAATGCAAAATACATATATTGGCAATTTTATTCGGATTGCTTTATTCCAACCCAAGTTATCATTGTTTCTAGTGTGCATTGGTTGTTTATTATTGTAACCGTGGTACTGGTATATTCGAGTAATAGTCTCGCTTCTCCAATTGAATTTAAATAGTTAAATGACCGAACGGTTCTGAATGGCATCGAGGTTGAGTATGGTCTTGTCATGTTAATACATGTCTAATTAAAAATTTATATAACATTTAAGCCCAAAGGAAAAACCTGCAATAGGCAAATGTGGCCCTTGAATAGTATCTGTAATGTTGATATGGATAAGAATTACACACTCCCCTTCTTTGTAACTGTTAAATAATTAAGAATATAAATTGCGGGAAGAATGTGATCCCAAAGGGAAGTAAAAAGATTTAGTAACCTTATATCAAATCATTTCAAGTGACATGGTCTAATTCAAGAAAAATATGAAATGCACAGCGTTAGGCGTGTGCTGTGTAACTCCTATATTCATCAACTAAATCAAAATGGTGTCGTATTTGATATTCAGTTAAAGGGACGTAACTCTACCAAACTTTCTAGAACTACGTACCGGTATTTAAGGCGAGGCGGTTGTAGCCTGGCTATTTATAGCATCAGCCGAATTAACGGCTATAAACGTTTCTTTTTACAAAAGAAAACATCATTGTTTTATTATGTTACTCATTTCAAATCATATTTTGTTATATTTTTATTATGCTAGAAGCCGCCATATTGTTGCAAAATGAATGACACCATACATTCGGAGATAAAGCTATAATGTTTGTCAATTGTTGAACATATTCTAAATGTTGTTTTTGGACTAGGAACTGGGAAAATTGGTTCGAAATCGACGCTCATCTTGTTCTCTTTCTTGAGGACGACGCCATTCTAAAGATGGCGGCGATGATGCTTGGTTCCTGGGCCCTTATTCACGAAAACTTAAACTAAGATACAATCGAAATTTTAAGAAATATGCAAATTGATTTTACTGGTCAGCCAATCAAATTGCAGCATTTCTTAAAATTTAGATTGTATCTTAGTTTAAGTTTTCGTGAATAAGGGCCCTGGTCCATGTAGTACTATAGTATTTGTTAGTTAGAACGGAGCTTTTTATATCAATTTTTATTATTAAATTATGTCATGCTTGGCGGATCATATTCGAATTTAATTAACATTAAACATTTATTTCGTTCCGTTTTTTTATCGGATGTCATAATAAACGAAATGAAAAAAAATGACCTTCTAGTTTTGATAAGATTGACCTTAATGGAGATTGTGCAAAATATATTTATGGTGATTCTAAAAGATAAAATGGAAATGGTAAAAGTTTTTCTTTTTGGCAGAGAAATAAATAAAAAATCTCAGGTCAGAGGTCAAAAGCTAAAGTGCATCACTTTGTCGCTCTGCTGTAAATGATAATTTTTGCCTTGATACATAATATCGCATTATATATATATATAAAAATTTGTAGCTTAATATATATAAGCAAGCTTTAAATATGCCCCTTTATATAGGCGTAATTTATATCACGTGCCAAGGGAATAATACCAATATTATTTTTAAAAAATTATACACGAAAAAAAAAAACAACATTTGCCAGATCGCGCGACGTGATACCAAGGCGCACATGACCAGTAGATTACGTACTGCGACACAACGGACATCCGGGGCCCAGATGAGGTTTAATATTCACTCGATACAAACTAGTTAATTTCGGTATGATATGATTTTAATAATTTGCTTGCACGTAAGAATCTTTAGCAATGGCAAGATAATTGTGGGACGGAAGTGACGTTTTTTTTCACTCAATAATTCATTGTTGTGCTCAGAAGAAATGTGGAGAAATAACCTAACTTTAAATATATATCTTAATGTGCCGCTATTTTTACAGATTAGAATTATTAGAAACATACGTTTTAGGGTTTTAAATTTAAAGTACTTTAATTTTTCATATTTATCTTGTTGGTGATTGAAAGAAACGAAGAATTTGCCAGTTTGTTTGTTAAAGGTTGTGTTTTAGATTTTATAGTTTAAAATATTTAAAAGTGTTAATACTTATGTTGGTTGTATTTAAAATATAAAAATGATTATAATAAATGTTATAATATTATGCTTGTTAGTGTAAAGGGACATTCCGCGAATAATGATATTATACCGTTCCAATAATACATTGAAGTTATTGGACGGTCCATTGTCACTCGATTTTTAAACCGTGTACATAATTTTAGATAAATCTGATACTCAGGCGTTGATTTTGAATACTAGTTTCCAAGTAATTAATGCGCGTGCACTATACGTTACTCTTAAGAATAATTTCAGTGAACGTAAATTTATATCATTCACAATTTTGTTACATCTGTGTCCTTGGTATATCAATGAAAAAAGCATAACAATCAATTACCAAAATATGGTCATCATCTGTCAGTTAACGAAAAATGGTCACCCTTTAAGAAATCATGACGATCAATTAACGCATGTCAATCAATTACCAGCGCATGTCAATCAGTTAAGAAATCATATCAATCAGTTAACAATGCATGTCAATCAATTAACAAATCATGTCAATCAACTAACACATTATGTCAATCAATTAACAAATCATGTCAATCAATTAACAATTTATGTCAATCAATTAACAATTTATGTCAATCAATTAACAATTTATGTCAATCAATTGACAATTCATTTACCAAATCATACAAAAACCAATTACTAAATCACGTCAATCAATTGACAAATCATGCCAATCAATTAACAAATCATGCCAATTAATTAACAAATCATGATCATCATTTAACAAAACATGGTCACCATTTAATAAAGCACCCTAGTGTGAAATTAGAAATAATATTAAAGGGACAAAATACCAGAGTATACGGTCAAAAGGGCATAATTGTTAGAATGAAACAGATTAACGTTATTTACGACCATTTCAATTTTATATTTTTTACTCGCCATGTTGATGTAAGTAAGTAAGTTCGTTTATTGCATAAAAACTCCCAAGGAGAACAGCATACAATTACAAAATGAAGGAAAAATCACATTCGAACACATAAACATAGATAAACTCTGCCTTGTTCACTACGGAGGCAAAGGCGATGCGTAAAGAGGTCTAAACCGAGCATAACACATGTACCTAATTCAATAGAATGACTACTACCCAAGTTGTCTCGTCAACCTTGACAGCAATGACTGTATAAGACTATATACGCGGAATGTCTTATTTATGTTGGTTATATTTAAGCTGTAAAGATTAATATTATAAATGTTATTGTGATGTTGTTAATATTATTAGTGAGATAATTGTAGCTATTATTGGTTACCTCCCCTTTCTTTATCTACACGAGTTTCGCCTTAATAGATAGACACCGACTGTGGCTCCGATCGACACATACCTTAGTCACCGTTATCCTGTCTCAGGCAATGATTGTCCTGGTAACCATAGAGGTTGTCTAGGTTACTAATATTAACGTAGTAACGTCGACTTCCTGGAAGCGGTAACCTAAGTTACTAAGCTGCCATAGCGACACTCACCGTCGCTACTAGAAACGCATGTCTTTGTTATTAGACATATCGACATTGGTCCTATGATAAAATCTATTTCTGAATAGAATCCATTGTGCATGGTTACCCCATCTTATAGATAATGTATGGATATGTCAGTTAATTCAAATTACTATTTGGTGAACTTCATTTATTGATATGAGGAAACAACCTAATCTGTATTGATACATATAAATTTTATTTTTTGACGGGGAAGGTATGTTTTGAATTTGTAATCATTCAAGTGGAAAAACTGTTCTTGTTTTGAAATGATTTTGACAAACAAAAAAGAAAATAAATAAATAAAAATATAATTAACACAGAAATATGTTAAACGAAACTGTCTAGAAAATGGTGAAGGGGCGTAACTCCCACGCAGCGTACTTTATCAAGGGGAGATAATTTAGATACTGTATTTTATTACAAATTTGTTATAGTTAATGGTTATGTTATTGTTTTTTTTTTCTTTTTAAATTTTATATTCTCTAAATATATTATAAAATTGTTTTGTTTTTAAAGTACTAGCAGTGCATAGATATATCAAGATACGTGTAACACTGTATTTATTATTTTTATTTATTACACAATAAAAACTTTCAATCAATTTTGAACTACCGGTTTCTTTTCAGGAGAAAGAGAGAGAGAGAGAGAGAGAGTATCTGGCAGAGTAATTCACCATTCGGATATTAAACTACCAGTTTCTAAGAGAGAGAGAGAGAGAGAGAGGGAGAGAGAAATGAAATGGAGTTTAACGTCCTACTGTTCTGCTCCTAACCTGGGCTAATGAAGACGGGCATACGCCAAACAGTGTGCTATGAGGGAAATTTTGCCCGGACAGCGGCACTACGGCCTACTCTTATATCGAATTCCAACTGCCAAGGGATCTTTTACGTGCACGCCAATGTGTACACGGGACCTCGGTTTTTCGTCCCATCCGAACGACTAGACAGCTTTCCCTGTCAGCCCCTCTGTCCTGCATCACTGACAAGGGAGAACCACGCCGGAAAATCTGGATGAACTTTCTCGGCTAATGCAGGGATCGAACACCCGACCTCCAGGCTAGCGAGCAAGCGTCTTACACACTTAGGGGAGAGAGAGAGAGAGAGAGGTCGGGGGCATGTGTCATCATTAGGCAGAGCGATTTGCCATCGGGATATTGAACTACCAGTTTCTTTCTTTCTAGGAGAGAGACAGATAGAGAGAGTGGGGGTGGGGAGTGTCATGTGTCATCATTTGGCAGAGAGAGAGAGTGGGGGTGGGGAGTGTCATGTGTCATCATTTGGCAGAGTAACTCGCCATCGGAATATTGATCCACCAGTTTTTTTTTTTAGGGCAGAGCGGGAGAGAGAGAGAGAGAGAGAAGGGGGAAAGAGTGCTTTAACGCGCGTAGAGAGGCGTTAGCAGTTCCATGGTGTTAGAGGTTATGGGGAAAACCAACGATTCAATGACAGACCTTATTAAATAATAATAAGACTGTGAGAGGTGGAGGGATGGGGGGGGGGGTACATCTCC